TATCGGGAGTCCAGGGCCGCAGTCTTTCAGCAACACAGCCGGGGGCACCTCGGGTCCCACTGTGGGCCAAGCCCAGGGCTGCAGGGAGCCGCCCAGCAGCTCCGTGAAAGAACCCGCGCAGGCTACACATGGGAAGACCAGCTCTCTATGGCAGCCCCATCTCCCAGCCCCATGTTTGACCCCAAAAAGCCGATTTCAGGGCAGTGGTTATGGAATTGAACTGTCTTTTCTTTGCTCTCCTCTGCCTTCCTACTAGTCTGCCCACAGCTTGCTGAGAAAAACACTTGAGAGGCTTTCACTCTCCACACCTACGCACTTAAAATACCAGGCCCATAGGTCATTTTGATGAGGGAATTTGGCTAATAACACGTTAGGCCGTGGGCGCAGCTACCATCGCGGCAGGTGCTGGCCAAGAAGGGCTGTGTCTCGGCAGGAATGAGCTGGGGCGTGGCCAGGTGTGGTGGGGGCGTGGTCAGGGTGTGGTGGGCGTGGTCAGGGCGTGGTGGGGGCGTGGGCAGCGCAGAGGGCGGGGCTCCAAGGGTCAGCCGTGCCCACTGGCAGGCCTGTCCCCAGGTGTCGAGTTCGGTGCCAGGTCTGCACAGAAGAATACAAGGAAGTGGAAGGCAGAGCTTTCCTAGAGTGGAAAAATGTCACACACACCTGTGAGCCAAATGTCATCACTTACTGCCGCTGCCTATGAGGTCATGAGCAGATGTCATGGTGTTCAAAGTTGTACACAAGGGCTCCGTTGTGAGCCGGAATACCTCCGCCTTCATGAGCCACAGTTACTGGGGCCAAAACGCCCCACCTAGTAGCTTTTGCCGGACAGACACTTCTTGACTGCACATAAAATGATGGGCATAAAATAGTAGAATTTTAATTATAATTACAAGCCGTGATTTCTCAAATATTCACTTTGGTTGAATTTCCTTCTCGATTCAGTAGGCCAGTCTCTGTGGTTAACCAGGAGGGTGGCGTTCAGCGCCAGGAGCCTAAATTCAGCTCAGGAAGAAAGTAGTTTTGAGCTATAACCCAGGCTCTCAATTAGCTGTTGAGTATGGTTTGGAGCCATTATCATCCCCAGGACTGTGATCTCTTTTAAGAGCAGTGGCAGAGCATAGGGAAGGTACCACAAGTCTGGATTCCTGGTTCTGGTGCCGCTGAGTTTGAAGGTAGAGCTTGGGGACCTCATGGCAATAATATGAAACACAAAGCTGGGAGATCTGGGTTTTCTGTGTATCCAAGCTGTGTGACTTTGGACAAACCACTCACCCTCTCTGAGTCTTAGCTTTGTTGTCTGTTAACCAAAGGCAATGAAATCTGTCTTGTTTATTTCATGAGACTGCTGGAAGGACCAGATAAAATTGTATATAGGAAAGTGCTTGAAACTTGTAAGTTCTACACAGTCCTGAAAATACCAACATTAGGAAGACAGTGGTCTTTGTTGTCATTAGGAAATCAAGGATAAGATGGTTGTTAACTTGGTCGCTCAGCCATGTCCGACTCTTTGCGGCCCCATGGACTATACAGTCCATGGAATTCTCCAGGTCAGAATACTGAGTAGGTAGCCTTTTCCTTCTCCAGGGGACCTTCCCAACCCAGGGATCGAACCCAGGTCTTCTGCATTGGAGGCAGATTCTTTACCAGCTGAGCCACCAGGGAAGCCCAAGAATACTGGAGTGGGTAGCCTATCCCTTCTCCAGCAGATCTTCCCGACCCAGGAATTGAACCGGGGTCTCCTGCATTGCAGGCGAATTCTTGACAAACTGATCTATCAGTTCAGTTCAGTTCAGTTCAATCGCTCAGTCGTGTCCAACTCTTTGCGACCCCATGAACCGCAGCATGCCAGGCCTCCCTGTCCATCACCAACTGAGCTATCAGGGAAGCTGATAGCTAACCATAAGTTAAACTTACGGTTAACAAAGGGGAAAGGGGCAGAGAGGGAGAAATAAGGAGTTTGCAATTAACAGATACATTCTGCTATGTATAAAATAGATAAACAACAAGGACCTACTGAATACCACAGAAAACTATATTCAATATCCTATAATAACCTATAATGGAAAAGAATCTTCAGAAGACTATATATATATATAAATATCTGCAGAAGATTATATATATATATAAATATCTGCAGAAGACTATATATATATATATATGTATATATGTATATGAATCACTTGGCTATGTACCTAAAACTAGCACAACATTGTAAAGCAGCTATACTTCAATACAAATTTTTAGAAAGCAAAAAATAGGATGGTTATAGGAGGGCCACCACAGGAGTGAGACTGTTTCTTGGGGTAAAACCCACAGGTAAAAATCTACAGAGCAGTGGCCACTTGTAGTACTGCAGCTGGAACTCATGCCTTTTAGTGTTTGTACTGAGTTGAATGTTGTCGTCAGTCACTCAGTCATGTCTGACTCTTTTGCTGCCCCGTGGACTGGATCCCGTCGGGTTCCTCTGTCCAGGGATTGCCCAGGCAAGAATACTGGAGTGGGTTGCCATTTCCTTCTCCAGGGGATCTTCCTGACCCAGGGGTTGAACTCACATCTCCTGCATTGGTAGGTGGATTCTTTACCACTGAGTGACCAGGGAAACCCGCTGAGTTGAGTAGTGTTCCTTAAAAAGTCATGTCCATGAGTAACCTCAGAATGTGACCTTATCTAGAAATAGGGGCTTGCAGATATAGTCAAGTTAAGGGAAAGTGCCACTGGAGTAGGGTATGCCCTAAATCCAGTGGCAGGTGTCCCTATAAGGAGAGAGAGATTTGAAGACAGAGGACATGGAGGGAAGGAGGCCATGTGAGGAAGGAGACAGAGATGGGAGTGATGCTACCACAAGCCAAGGAGAGCCAAGGATTGCTAGTAACACCAGAAGCTGGGGCAAGACCAGGAAGAATTCTTTCCTAGAAGGGGACAGCCCACTCAGCACCTCAGTTTTGGACTTCTGGCTTCCAGAACTAGGAGACTATAAGTTTCAGTTGTTTTAAGCCACCTGAACGCATGCATGCTAAGTTGCTTCAGTCGTGTCCAAGTCTTTGCAACTCTGTGAACTGTAGACCGTCAGGTTCCTTTGTCCATGGGATTCTCCAGGCCAGAATACTGCAGTGGCATTACTGGAGTTGCCATTTCTTCCTCCAGGGGATCTTTCTGACCCAGGGATCAAACCCACGTCTCTCGCATCTCCTGCATTGGCAGGCGGGTTCTTTCCCATGAGTGCCCCCTGGGAAACCCTTAAGCCATCTGTGATGTGCTCAGCCATGTTCAACTCTGCAGCCTCATCGACTGTAGCCTGCCAGGCTCTTCTGTTCATGGGGATTCTCCAGGCAGGTATACTGGAGTGGGTTGTCATGCCCTCCTCCAAGGGATCGTCCCAACCCAGGAATCAAACCGGGGTCTCCTGCATTGCAAGCAGGTTCTTTACCAGCTGAGCAGCCAGGAAAGCCCTTAAGCCACCTACTTTGTGATAATTTGTTACAGCAGCCCTAGGAAGGAAGAAGTGTGTTAATGGAATCTGAAATGCTGGCATTTCAGGCAGCAGGGGAAACACCCTGGGTGCAGGCACATGCCTACCTGTGGAGATGGATAATGGGATTTATCTCAAAGATAAAACTGGAGTGAACAGTGACACTGTATGTATCCCACGAACACCTTCATTTTGCAAACCAGGAAACTGAAATCTGGAGACATTAAATATGTGTCCAGGAACTAAATCTTCTGTCTTGCAGGAAGAGCTATGCCTCTCTCTAATGTCTCTCTGTACACACACACACACACACACACACACACACACACCTTTGAATACCATATGCCAGATGCTGTTTTAATGATTTTACTCATATTACCTCATTTAACCTCCTCCACAATTCTATGGGTCTCCCAAATAGAGGCCGCCTGCCAGTGCAGGAGATAGCAGAGATGCAGATTCGATCCCTGGGTCTGAAAGATCCCTTGGAGGAGGGCATGGCAACCCACTCCAGTATTCTTGCCTGGAAAATCCCATGAACAGACGAACTTGGCAGGCTACAGTCCATAGGGTCACACAGAGTTGGACATGACTGCAGTGACTTAGCATGCACACAGGCACAGTTCTATAAGGTAGGAGAAGTTATGTGTACCCACCTTCAAGGTAAGGACACAGACAAAGGGACAACTCATGACTTGTTTAAAGTCAGTTAGCCAGAATTCAAACCCAGAGGACATTCTCTGAACCACTTTGCCAAGAAGAAATGCTTTTAAATAGCTAATGTATTTATATATTAATATTTTTATTATAAATTATTTTTTGAACAATTTTTTTCTAATTATTAAAATCACTGCATGACGTGTATGCAATGAGTACATACTCACATTTTGTGAGTATGTATAAGACATTTAGATGGAAATCCATGTGCATATTTATGCTCAAAATTGTCATTGAATCTCAGTCTGTCAATTATATATCCTTCTGTCTTGCCAACCCGGTGAGTGCCTATGGCATAATCAAAATAATATTTTAAATCACCAACAATTAGTATTTTCAAAATACAGAGAGAATCATTCCAATTAAGCCTATCCTCAGAAATTCTATTTCTCCTAATCCTTGGAGGTACAATGAACATTAGAGGGGAAAGACAAAAATGGGTTCTTTTACTCCTTTTGCCCTGAGCTTATTAAAAGGGAAGACATGGGGGTTTCTAGCTGCCAATCTGCCCCTATGTTCCTGGGCTCTTGACCTAAAAGTAAACACATCTGAATCTCTCTTGATCCTGTGTTATTAATGATCAAACAAAAGCCGTGTGACTACTGGATGTGCCACATCTAGACAGCATAGTTGTACTTTCCAGAATTCCAGCAAAGCCAAACTAAAAGGAGTATTGGAAAAACTGATAACATGTGCTCAAGCCCTGCCCCGTTTCAGTATGAGGGCTGGAAAGCATACATTAATTTTGAATTACCCAGCAAATATAGTCAGGCGATCGCCTCATCCTTCTTTGCTCTCTTTTGTGTTCCAACAGGGAAGAGCTTCACTCTGACCATCACCGTCTTCACAAACCCACCGCAAGTCGCCACCTACCACAGAGCCATCAAAATCACAGTGGATGGACCCCGAGAACCTCGAAGTAAGTGGGCCCCCTTCGGGGCTGGCACCCCCTGCCCCCGCCCCAGTTGGTACACTCAGGCACCAGGGACCATGTCTTCGAAGCCTTGCTTTCAATCAGCATCACCCAGATGTGGCTGAAACCTCTCCCAGAGGGAAATGTCAGGCCCCTGTAGAGAGGGAGAATCTTACTTTTGACGCTCTCACTTGTCAAAGGCTGTCTCTGGGCTCCGGGCTCTTTTTTCAAAGCATCCTTTTAGAGGGCAGAAGGAATCAGACTGACTCAAGCACATGTTAGAATCATCTGGGGACAGCACGGGCCTAAGGACCAAATACGTGGTAAAGTTCCATGGAAGACTGGCCAGGCACAGAGGTGGCCCAAAAAAGGCCAGAGAGTCAGAGTGGACCACAGGGGCTGATTACCATCCATGCTGGCCTTTTATTCATTTGGAGGCTGGAGATGAAATCTACCCAAATGACCCTTTTCTTTCTGTGCCACTGATCAAAATCTTATGACAGGATTGTTTAAAATAGAGAATGGGAGGCGGGAGAAATGCCTGGGGGAAAACCAGCAAATATAGAAAGATGGTACCAGAAAAATAGCTCCTGCGAGAAAAGTTTTTTTAAAAAGGAGTGGGGTTGTTTAGTCTGCAGAAAAATGTCTTCACGGTGACTGAATGACGATCTTTGAGTAAACACAAGAGCAGCACTCTTTTCCAGAACCACACCCTTCCCTTGCATGGAGGCTGGGTTACACTTGCAGATCTGTGGGGCTGACTGGAGCCCCAGCCCGGCATCTGCATGCCTTCTAACCATGTCAGGCCCCCGGTGGAAAATTAATATCCTCTATTCTCAGGGTCTGGGTAAGGGGTGAAAAACTGGGCTTCCTGCTAGGCCAAGAAGTTGAGACGCAGGCGTGTCAGGTTGTAAAGAAGTGGTTAAGAATTTTGAGTGCTGGGCTGAACAAGTGGAGTGCGGGGCTGAGGTGCTGAAGCACCTTTCAAGAAGTTATGGAGGCTCTCTGAACCTCAGTTTCTTCATCTGTAAAATGGGGATATTAATGAGAGCTTCTCTATAACTTGAAGGAGACAGTGCTCTGTGCCTGGCATGGAGAATGGAATCAGGAAATGCCAGCGATCCCGACTTGTGCCTCCCTGCCTGCGCCTCAGGGTGCCCCTCCACCCCCTGTCCCCCAGTCCATGAAGACCGGCCCTGTGGTGGTGGTGTTGGGGGCCCCCGCAGTAGGGCTGTCTATAGGTCAAACTGTGAACACTACAACTCGTGGCAGTCTTCCCTGGAGTCCTGGCCACAGCCTGTGATCACCCCGGGCGCTGTGTCAGTCAACCCTCCAGATACCCCCAAAGTGGGCGGAGCCCCACAGGGAACACACGCCCACCAGGGACCACCCCTCAGGACGAGCTGTCCGTTCGCCATCTCTTTGGCGCCCTTTGCCTGTTTTCTTTCTGACCTTATTTCCCCCGGGCTGCCGATTGTTCTCGTTAAGTACCTGGAGATGTTCTGGCCACACCCAGACTCTGGAAACTCCAGGACTTGGTAACCACCCCCGATTCCCATTTCTGTGTGAAAAGAAAGCCAAAAGAAAGCCACAGGCGCAGAACCACACAGTTCCAACCAAACCCAACTTGGGAGGTTTCCAAAGTAGGAACGGCAGACTGAAGACGCCTAGTGACCCTGCGTTAAACACACCAGACACACCACGCAGGCGCCCTGGTGCTCGCCGAGGACCAAAGCGGAAGCAGGCTCAGATCACAGCAGGCGCGGGGCGGGGCGCGGGCCGTTGTGAGGTTTGAGGCAGTTGGCCTTGAGGATACTTAAACTTCCAGAAAGGCTCACTCAGGAGGCTGTAGAATCCCTTTCTTGAAAAATAAAAGCAAGTGGATTTCCCTGGTGGTCCAGTGGTTAAGACTTCTCCTTCCAGAGCAGTGGGTGTGAGTTCCATCCTTGCTCATGGCGCTAAAATCCCACAGGCCTTGTGACCAAAACACTGAAACATAAAACAGAAACAATCTTGTAACACATTCAGTGAAGACTTTAAAAAATAAATAAGCATACAAAATTTAAAAAATAAAAGTGGAAGCAGGGAACTGGGGAGGGGTAACATAGAAGTAGGAGGTTAAGAGATACAAATGATGATGCATAAAATAAATAAGATACAAGGATATATAGTTGGAGGAGGGAATGGCAACTCACTCCAATATTCTTGCCTGGAAAATTCCATGGATAGAGGAACCTGGTGGACTAAAGTCCATGGCATCACAGGTCATTGGAAGCGACGGAACAACCAATACACTCACACACACAAGGATATATAGTACAACAGGGAGTATGACCAATATTTTATAGTAACTATAAATGGAATATAACCTTTAAAGCTTGCACATCGCTATGTTGTACACCTGAAACTTATTAATATATAATATAGTACATCGGCTGTGAAAAGTGAAAGTGAAAGTCGCGTCTGACTCTTTGTGACCCCATGGTCTATATAGTCCATGGAATTCTCCAGGCCAGAATACTGGAGTGGATAGCCTTTCCCTTCTCCAGGGGATCTTCCCAACCCAGGGATTGATCCCAGGTCTCCTGCATTGTAGGCAAATTTCTTTACCAGCTGAGCCACACGGAAAGCCCAAGAATACTGGAGTGGGTAGCCTATCCCTTCTCCAGCAGATCTTTCCAACTCAGGACTCAAACCGGGGTCTCCTGCATTGCAGGCAGATTCTTTACTAACTGAGCTATCTGGGAAAGAACATTTAAGTAAAAGTAGAAGCAACAGCCATCTCTGGGAGAGTTCGAAGGCAAACCTACCAGGAGGGAAAAACTTAAATCAGGTGAGCCTCCATATGCCTTCCACTGCCTCCCTTCACTGAGGCATAAAAAAGGGCAGTTTTTGCTGTATAGCAAGTATTTTCGTGTAACATTCAAAGAACTAACAGTGATTGAACTTCGAAAAATAAATGATGAGCGCTTGAATTTTTAAGAACTGGCCGTCAGAGGGGAAAAATATGTGATTGTTATGGGCCGCCTGCATATACAGTGGACTCTGCTTCCTGCTGCTTTATGACTTAAGAAAACAGTCATTATTGAGAACGGTTTTGGAGTAGGCAGAAGGGAATTGGCTCCAAAGAGGCACCCATTTTTACGGAGTCTTTCCTGCCAAATGGAATTTGGGGTCTGGGGAAAAATTAACTTAAAAACCAAATTAAATTAAATGAATATATACAAGTATGATATAAAGAGCTGTTGCAGGCTTAGGTAGAGACTGTCTATTTCATAAGGGACTTCTAGAAAAAAGTCAAATGCACACAGTCTCCCAGGGTGAGTCAGGTAATGCTGCCTTTTCACTCCAGGAAGCAAGGCGGGCCTTTAGCATGCATTTTTCTTATTATCATTTGGATGTCTTGATTCAAGGTGGGAACTGCTTTTTGATGAAACTGTGTTCACAGCCACTTTTTTTTTTTTAAGAGAAATTAACAGAATTCCCCCACCCCCGCAACTTTATTGAGATATCATTGGCTTACTGTGTTAGTTTAAGGTTTACAACATGATTATTTGATATATGTCTACATTGAGAAATGATTACCGCAGTGAGATTAGTTAACACATTCTTCACATCGTATAGTGACGGTTTGTTTGTGTCTGTTGAGGACTTTTAAGATCTACCCTCTTAGCAGTTTTCAAATATATAATGCAGTGCTGTTAACTATAGTTCATGCTATACATTAGTCCCCAGAATTTTTTCATCTTATAACTGAAAGTTTGTACCCTTTGATCCCTTTCCCCCACCCCGACCCCTGGCCACCACCAATCTACTCTCTGTCTCTGTGAGTTTGTGGGGTTTTTTGTTTTTTTATGAGATTCCACATATAAGTGAGATCATACAGTATTTGTCTTTCTCTGTGTGACTTATTTCAGTTAGCATAACACTCTCAAGGTTTATCCATGTTGCAAATGGTAAACGGCAGGGTATCTTTTGTATGCCTGAATAATATTCCTGTGTGTGTATGTGTGTGTGTAAACACATCTTCTGATTGTTACCATGTTTTGAGTATTGTGAATTATTCTTTCCAATGCACTTTTAGGGCTTCCCTGGTAGCTCAACTGGTAAAGAATCTACCTGCAATGCAGGAGACCCCAGTTCGATTCCTGGGTCAGGAAGATCCCCTGGAGAAGGGATAAGCTACCCACTCCAGTATTCCTGGGCTTCCCTGGTGGCTCAGATGGTAAAGAGTCTGCCTGCAATCCAGGAGACCTGGGTTCGATCCCTGGAGAAGGGATTGGCTCTCCACTCCAGTATTTCGGCCTGGAGAATTCCGTGGACAGAGGAGCCTGGCAAGCTAGTCCATGAGGTCTCCAAGAGTCGGACACGACTGAGTGACTTTCACTTTCAGTGCCATTTTAAGAAAGGTCATTGCATGTAAACTAGAATGCCCAGGCAGTGTCAAATCTATGGGTTAGTAAGATCTCCCAAGTCCCTTCTGTCATTATTATGGTGCTGTGAATTCTGGGTGATTCTGGCAACATGGTTCCTGCATAGCCAAGTTGAATCGTTTTGAAAAGTTCTTTTGTTTTGTGAAATTAATGACTATGAGAGCTCAAAGGGACCTGAGAGAGCCTTCAGGGCTAATTGCCTCATTGATAAGGGAAAGCAGCCCCAGAGAAATGAAATGATCTGCTTAGGCTGGAAAGAAAGAGTTGGTGATGAAGCCAGAATTACAATGAGGAGCTCCTGATGCCTCATACTAATCCACTCTATCCATCCATCTGTCTGTCCATCCCTGCATTTACCTCCCCATCCCACACCATACCATCTGCACGTGACCTATTCTAGACTCTCTGACCTGGCCCCAGTACTTTCATTTTTGAAACGAGTTGTTGGCTTGTATGACTTCTTACATTTGTCCCAGCTCTAAAGTTGTCTAGAAAGGGCAATTCCCAGTGCCTGAGTGCACTCATGGAGCCTTCAACTTAAAGCATTTCTGCACAAACCGGAAGGAAAGCTTA